CCTGAGGAGGGAACGACATCGGTTCCACTGACTTCCCTCTGGCTTAAAATCATTGTTTAGGTCCTAGGCTTTAAGTTGACTCCGAGTTTGGGCATCTCGGTCAAAAATCGTCCTTTGCAGGGCCTCCAGAAGGCCATGTTGCTCAGGAGCAACAAAACCATAAAGGGTTAATCATCATGTTAAATTTGGCGGGTCTACTTTTCTAATCTATGAAGTTGGGGGCCAGGCCAGGTTGGGCGTTTGCGGCGTTTGTGATAGAAAATGAGAACGGGAAAAATGTCCGGCAGAGCAGAGCAAAACTGTGTGCGCGGCAGGAGCAGCAGCAGCAGCGGCCGGTGGAAGCAGCAGCCCGAGCTCTACAGCTACCTCTGGCCTTCCGACACATCTGTCGCACGCGCCGGCTCGAGCTCGAAGCCCCTGGCTGCCGTCCGGGCGCGGCGCGGAGCGGCACAACAAGCTTCCGCCCTCCTTGATGTCGGCCAGGGGCTCCTGCCTGCCTGCCTTACCGCCGCATTCTCTGCTCATCGGGTTTCTCTCCACCACCCCCCCTCCTCTGGGCCGGTGCGCGCGCGCCGTCGTGCCATGTGGACGACGGCGGCGGTGGTGGCTCCGTATGCGTGATGGGCCTTGCTTGCTGCCCCGTTCACGAGGATGATGATGACGATGATCCGCGCGGAAAAATAAAACTAACACAAAAAATACTGTGGTTGCGTGAGATATATTTCCATCTGATATGTATTTGGCGTGGCGTATTTGGCGCGTGCGGCTGGCGACGGCGGCGGCGGCGCGGGGGGGAATGTGGAACGGCACCAGCAGCTCGGCGCACCTCAGGCCACGGCTAGCCGGTCCGGTCCGTACGTACGCACCGCGCCACCTTCGCCGTGTTACGTCGTCATGGTCGAGTCGCGTCCACCGACCGGCGTGCGGCATAGCTGCTGCTGCGGCAAGCTGGCTGGCTGGCTGGCTGCGCGCTGGTAAAAGTTTATGAAAAACAATATAAATAATGTAATGATGATGATGGTAAAATAAATAAAAATTGGCGGTCGTGACGTGGGTGGATGGCGCGGAGCCCGTGCAGACGGTGTGTGCCGTTTGGGCTGGAGGAGGAGGAGGAGTGCGTCTGGCGGAAGGGGGAGAGAGGCTCTTTGTCTTTCGTGTCAAAACTTCGACCACCCCGGAACGAAAAAAGGAGCAGGACCGAGCCGGGCAGCTCAGGGCCCGCTGCGCCCGCTGCTCCTGGCGAGCCGTAAGGCGTGGCGGGGTGGGCGGGGCGGCAGAGAGGAAGGGACTCACCGGAAGCCCTCTGCTTCGCTTCTTTTCGCTCATTGCGCTTTTCTTTTACCAATTTTTTTTTCTTTCCCCGTTCGCTTTTTCTTTCGCATGCTCTATCGCCGCCCTGCCGTCCATCTGCTTCCGATACGACGAGGACTCATTTTTTTGTCACTCCACTCCACCCACTCCTCCCTCACTTTCTGTGTAAGTTCAGATCTATGCGTCGATCAGACCCCGATTATCAAGGTGTCTGCTGCCCTCTCCACTCATTCACTCGCTCTCTCGCTCGCTGCTGCCGGAAGTAAAGCACGACGTGTGCATTTGTGTCCGGATGTGTGACCGTTCCGTGTGGCAGATGGGGATGCGGCGCCCCTGGCCCCGGCTAGCCCCGGCTAGCCCCGGCTGGAAGTGGAGAGTGCTCTTCTGGAAAAAGGTTATTACGGAAGAGGGGGTGGTGATCTGCTGCTGCGGCTCGTTCGCTCTTTCCCTGGACGACAGACGGACTGGCGGGCGGACGGACCTCTGGGATGGTTCTAAAATGAAGGGAGAAGGAAGGTTTTGATCGTCCGGTACGAGATAACAATCACCTTCTGCCGCCACTACCGAAATTGTGATGGAATGTGAGTCCTCCGGGTGTAGGCGTGTGTGCGTGCGCGGGCGCGCTACTGGGTGGATGGGTTTTAGAATATATAACGCCGTCTTAATTTGTAGTTTGTCGTCTTCTTATCAAGTGGAAAAAGCCCTACAACGTTGGCGCGGTGGCGGTGTAGGGAGGAGGGGACGGAAAAAATTTGTAAGTGACGCTTCCTAAAAGCGGGAGGGAGCGCGCGGGCCCGTAAGGCAGGTCCGCGTTTAGGCTGACGTGGCCGTCGTTGGCGACCCCAGGGAAAGGGGGGAAGGGGGGGGGGTGATCCGCCCCGCTGCGCGCGCTCGCCGATGGTGATCCCCCTGGAGGAGCATCATGAAGGGTCTCTCTCCGGACTAACGAGGCTCGGTATCACCGCGCGGTGCCGCACGCGTGAGCTGCCGTAGCTTCACTACCGTAGCTTCACTGCCACATAGCTTTACTCTGCCGTAGCTTCACTGCTATAGCTTCGCTGCCGTAGCTTCACTGTCATAGCTTCACTCTGCCATAGCTTCACTGCCTGCTTGAAGTTGAGCGGCACGACGTCGCGCCCCCCGGGGGACCTGGACGACGACGGCGCGGTGGTGTGGCGCGGCGGTATGCAGACAGACACATGCCGGTGCTGGGGGGGGGGGGGGGGGGGGGCGCCACTCCACCGACTGCAGAGAGAAGGCCCTTCGGAAGGAGAGAGAGAGAGAGAGGAAGGAAGGAGGTGGCGGGGGGACACTTCCGGTGACACAGGCGTGTGTGTGTGTGTGGTGCAGGAGGATGGGCGGAGGGGCCGTGTGCGTGCCCTGCAATGCGCGTGCGTAAATCACTTCTACAGCGTGATGGTGTGTGTGTGTGTGAGCGCGCTCGCGCGATTCTTTTGGCGTATGTGATTTTAATGAGAGCGCACGTGTTTTGTGAGACTGTTTGTGTGTCTGTGTGTGTGTTGTGCAGTTGTGCATGTGTGTTGGTTGCTTCGCGCCGCCATACCGACCGTGCGTTTCTAACAGCAGCGCGGCATGGGAAAACCAAGCTAAAGAGGGGGAGGGGCTGCGGGCTGCGCGGATGCAGTGCACACACACACACTGACACAGTCGCGCGCGCACACACACACTTACGGACTGTGAGTCCTTCATGCCGCCCGCAGCCGCCCGAGAGTATTTTCGCAGAGTGAGGCTTGTGCGTGACACTTGACGCCATCCCGTTTGCACAAGGCGAAGCCGCCGCCGCCGTCGCGTCGCCAACTGTGACGCCTGCGCGCAGCCTTGCGCCCTCTTTCTGCTCTGCGCGCTGCTCTCCTCCGCACCTCTCTTTCTCTCTCTCTCTTATCTCTCCATTCTCTCCTTTTGCTCCCCCCTTCATTCTCTCTCTCTCCTATGCCACACGCTGCCGTGCTAAACGGTTCGAATAGAGCAGGCGGGTGCGGTGGCAAGAGAGGGGATATAGTCCTGTGTGTGTGTATTCAATGCCGGCCTGCTGATCAGGAAGAGTGTGTGTGTGTGTGTCTCGTCCCTTCCGCTCCGGGCGCGGCGGTGCAGCTGCTCTCTGCCCCCGCCGATCAATAACCGATAAACTATTGGCTCTGGTTTGGGCGGGCGTGGGCGGGTGCGGCGGGCCTGGCCGGGCGGGCGGGTGCGCAGGCTAGGCTGGCGGGGCGGGGCGGGGTGCGGCGGGGGTGGAGTGCGGACTCTGCATTGTGACTCCAAACCAGTGCAGCAGCAGCGCGGCTGCTAAGGACTAAGGGATCTTGCTCCTGATTCCTGATGCATTGGGACGGTGAGGAGGCCCCACCTGAATCGATTTCCTTTTACTCTGGATGTGCGCGGTCTGTGTATGTGTGTGTGTCCGTGTGCCGCGCCGCGTTTGTGTAAGAGTGAGTGAGATTGCTTTCCTAAAGGCTCACGCTGCTGCTGCTCGACGCGTGCCCCTCTCGCGCGTTGGTGCTCTACGGCCGATTTATCGCCACGGCGTGTGAGATGGGAGGTGAAAAGAGAGAAGGAGGAACAGCCTGGAAATTTGAGCGACAAAAAAAAAGAATGTTTCCTTTTAAAGCCGAAACGCGGCGTCTTGCTGCGCTGCTGCTGTGGCGCTCCCCCCGGAAGGCTTTTCCCTCTTCCCCTTGCTGCCGTGCCCGCGCGGCCTGCGGCAGCAGCAGGGTAAGCAGATGCGGTAACCATAACACAAATTCCAGCCGATCTGTCATCCCATTTGGGGTGGAACCGGTGGAACGGGGGAAAGAGAGCAGCAGCCTCGTCGACGGCGCGGAGGTGTTTTTGTCGCGCGCCTGCCGCTGCTGCCGGCCTGCGCGACCCCAGGAGGGCGAGCGAGCAGCGCGGGGGCCAACGGGGGGCCCCGGAAGTGATTAATCAACTGATTAGAACTACACCAGAGCTGCGTGAAAAACCTAGAAAATTGAAGGAGTATTTGCATGCAGTGATCACTAGTCGTGTCGGTCGTGCAAATATGCATAGCATACGAGGTGTTGTTGGCGCGCGTCCCTTTTCAGGCGGAAATTGGAAAATAATAAAAGAGGGATGAATTGATTTTAGATGAAATTGGAATTGCCTTGCTGTCCTGCTTGCCCCGTTGCTGCGTAGTGCTTGAAAGCGCCTGCTTCATAACCAAAAACGGGGCACATGTTCCCCATCCCCGCGTCCCCTACCACCCCCGCATGCCCCCCGGGTGTCCCTCGGGGTGCACGCCCGGCAGCAGCAGCAGGGGTGCGGTGTCGCCTGGCGGCGGCAAGGAGAGATTTCACGTATACGGAAAGTCTAAATTGGGACTGCTGCTCTACTTAACCCGCGGCGACCCCGCCGGGGCTCCCCCTCCCCGTCTTTATCACCCCCTCCTCCCCCCAGGGGCACGTATGCACGCACGTGGCGCGCGGAGGAGGACCTGGTCGTCGTATTTCCGTATCCGTACAAAGTGGGGAGATTTATAAGTCTCCGCTTGTTACACTCCAGCAGCATCAACTCTCTTCCCCCCTGTTCGTTTTTTGAGGTATTCGGGGGTTAAAAACTCCCCGTTTCCGTGTTGGGTTTCGGCGGCGCGCGCCGCTCGCGCCCCGCGTCGTTCGTACTGCGCGCACTTTTTTACGCCCCATCGTCTGGCGGCGCGTGTTTTAAAAGAGCGAGGGGAGGCGGCCAGAGTTGTGCTTGTAAACATGTAAGCTTTGGAAAGGAGAGAGAGGGAGAGAGCGGAGGCAAACGAGACGTATTACCGGCGCTAGCGGGAAGGGGTGAAAAAAATGATGACTGGCGGCGTATGGAGGATCATTCGCAGTAAATCACGACGCCTTGTTATGGCTTTACCTCGACAGATTGTTAATTTTTTCCGTTTGTTTTTTTCTCTGTTGCAGCTGGGCTTTTTCACGTACTACTGGGTGGCTATGGGCGAGGTGAGCCCCTCAGGGCCGGTACCGATAGACAGCGTCTTCATCTACCGTCCCGACAAGAGACAAGAGATCTGGAGGTTTATTTTCTACATGGTGCTTCACGCAGGGTAAGTACGCTATCGTGCTCTCGGAGGAGGAGAAGGAGGACAAGCCAAGGCCAGGCGACGGAGCACACAACGGACCACGTGTATTTTTTTTATCCGCAAAATTGTCTGAGTGACGTAGATTTTTGTGTCGGCTAGTTGGTCGCGTGTCGCTTTCTGTCATTATTTTAATTACTTTTTTTCTACATCTTTATTTTGAGTGTTTTTTACAATTATTTTTTCGGACAAGCCATAGTCCGGTTTTGTGCTGCGTTGTGTGGTGTGTTCCGTTTGGCTTTTGCTTTTGTGTATTTGTAGTATAGAGTGGTGTCGATACGGCCGCGAAAACGCCTTGAGGCGCCTTTTTGAGCCGCCGCGGGCTCGGCGCAAAGTGATAAGGTTGGACCCGCGGAGGGGCCGGGGGTGTGCGCTGGGCGGCGCGGGGTGTGTCTGTGTGTGTGTGTGGCAGCCTGCAGCGACCGCTACGCACCCAGCACGCGGCCCGTGCGGCCCGGCCCCCTCGGCGGGGCCCCCGGCACCCCTCTGGGGCCCCGCGGCCCCGCCCTGACCAGGCCGGACCGGACCGGATCGGAGGTGTTGATGTGTGTGTGATGTCGTTGCAGGATGCCGGCCGCCGCGCTGCCCGCCGCGCTGTCCGCCCTGGGGGCGCTGCTCCTGCTGTCCGCCTGCGCCGTGGAGCGCGCCGAGGCCTGCTCCAGCCGGTCCACGCCCAAGCCGCGCCCGCCCGCGCCCACCCCCCGGCCCAACGTGACCTTCCACACGTACGCCTGCCCGCCCGCGTACGCGGCCTGGTACTGCCTCAACGGGGCCACCTGCTTCACCGTCAAGATCGCCGAGTCGCTCATGTACTCGTGCGAGTGCTCGGACGGCTACATGGGCAACCGGTGCGAGTTCAAGGACCTGGACGGGTCGTACCTGCCCGTGCGGCAGCGCGTCGTCCTGGAGCGCGCCAGCATCGCGTCGGGCGCCAGCATCGCCGTCATCCTCGTCGTCGTCGTGTGCATGGCCGCCTACGTGCACTGTCAGAGGAGAAACGGACGGGGCATCAAGTCGCCGCCGCCCTCGCCGCCGCCCTGCCTTCCCTGCCGCGCGCCCCCCAGCCGGCCGCCTCCGGGCCCCGGCCGGCCTGTCGCCGCCCCCCTCAGCCGGCCGCCCCCGCCCCCGGGCCCCTACGTCCTGGACAGGGATTGGCCCTGGCGTGCGCCCATCGTCGTGCCCGTGGTGGCGCTCCACAGGCCGTGCCGGACGGCCCCCGCGCCGCCTGGCGCGCCGCCCCCGAGGCCGCCGCCGCCGCTGTGTCCGCCCCCGACATGCGCGCCACTCGTGTGCACGGGGCCGGTCAGGCACCCCGTCAGGCAGCAGTGCTAGTGCAGAGCTGGTGGGCGCCGCCATATGGACTCGAGTGCGAGCGCCCCCAGAGAAAGACTGCCCGTTCAACAGTGTACAGTTCAAAGTTAAAAGAGTGTATAGTGTAATTATGTAAAGGACAGCTGTGCTGAATGTATATAGGAATGCCGTGTACATAAGATGTATGTATGTATGTGCCCGGCCCGGGGAGCGCGTCCGCCTCAGTCTTTCCTCTCTATCTCTCTATTTATTGTAATTTATATCGAGCCGGGCGCGCGCTCCGCGGCAACCAAACTTGTTTTAAGTTTATTTATTTTGCTATGAAGTTCCTAACGATGTCAATCGACCCCGCGACCGTCTCCAACAAATGTGATATTGTTTTAAGGCTCGACTGCGCGGGGGTTCCAGGATTGGCAGCACGATGGCTATATAAACATTCGTTGTAGCGAATCTGTTACGGGTTCGTCAACGATATATTTTATTTAAAAAGTTAAAAGCGAATTTGGAGTACAGAGAAAAGAAAGCACATCACTATTTAAAATGCTGCTTTTGCACGAGTTAAACGAGCAAACAAAATATGAAATACTAAATACTTGACTCGTTGTGCAATACTCGCATAATGTCGCGAAAAGAAAAGACTCTATAAACATGCTTTGTAATAGTCATTTAAATACCAAATAATGATAGCAGTGTAGTTTTAAGCTGTATGCCACGCCACCGTGTGCTACAATAGCGAGAAACGAATATTGATTACTGGTGCTCATTTTGATATGAATATGAATGGAAAGCTAACATTTGGCCGGGCCCCGCCTGCTCACTAGTCAGCAGCGTCCGAGCGTACGTACCTACTAGGATTTGTAAATTTTTGACTTTGTTGCCGTCCAACACATACACCCCAGTGTTATGATTTTTTTTTATAAAGAGAAAATGATTTTGATCCAATGACGCATTTTTTTACCATGTTTTTGTGTTGATTTGTTTTAAACCTGTAGACATGTAAATTTGTTTGTATAATTTGCTACAAATTCATTTGTGTGAAGGAAGAAAGTTTTTTTTATATTCATGTTTTATCATTAACATTGTATACCATCCACTTCCTCAACTTTCATCGAATGTATTATAATTTATTTTTTTACTTTTATTATGACTGATGTAGGGGTGTGTGTTTTAGACGGCGTTATCTGTTCGTGCGGTGGTTCAGTGTGCGAATCACTCGGTTGCTCACTTGCCTGTGTTTCTGTCATGTTTATGAATGTCTGTCCATAGTTTAAATTTAGAGAGAGAGAAAGAGAGAAATGTCCAACAAATGAGAGATATTTATGTATATCAGATGCAGATAAACAAAATTCATTTCTGTCTTTAGAAATAAATATGTTAGTACATAAAATGAACTTCGGTTGTTTTCATTTGCCTGCGAGAGTAGAAACAGTGTGATGCCCCTTTGGTTCCTAGAATTGACGGCATTTATGCTAAGGCTTCATGAATGCCGTGTGTGTGTATGTGTGTGTGTGTGTTCGTAGTTGGTGCATGCAGATACAGTAGCAGTACAGAGGGGGGCCGTGGGCCGTGCCGTAGTGACAATACCTAGCGAGACCACCCGGCCTTCCCCGCCCTTGCCCTGGTCTATGGGCTGTCATTTGGAGTGCGCGCAGTGAAACTGGAATAGCCTGCGTTGTTCTCGAAAAGAAATCCCCGCACTTCAGCGTAAATGTATTTGAGGTTGCATGATGTTACATAGTTGTCTCACACTTGAAGTGTATTACCACTCTGTTGCACACTTGTGACGACAGTCGGGTCCGAGGCCTCCCCTCTGCCCCGCGCCGTCGTCCAGTCCGGTCGCTTCCCCCCCAAATCGCGTGGCGTGGCGGGGCGGGGCGCAGACTCCTGTGACATATTTCATGCGGCGGCTCGTTCCGCTCCGCCCCTAGATGGCCCGACGGCCGGGGACTGGTTGCCGTACTGGCTGTACACGCCGCCGTGCCGCGCCGTGGCGACGGGGGGCCCCGCCGGGGCCTCTACCGGGGCCTACCGGGGCCCACCGGGGCCGGCCGGGGTGGTGGCGCGCGGGGGCTCCGGCAGCTCCTCGGCAGGCCCGTTTTGAAACATTTCGGGGGGCTTCTAAATCACGCTAATTAGATACCTTTGGGGTGTCGTCGGCAGCGGGGCGGGGCGTGGCGGGCGGTGGCCTGCACAGCGTCTTACTCATTCAACTTTTATTTTTATTTTTTTGTGTCGCTGGTCCCCTCCCCGTTTGTCCCCTGCTTTGCCTCCCCCATCTCTCTTTTCCTCCGCCTCCTTTTCCACGGCAGACTGAGAGTATGTAGTGGGCAGAGGGAGTGGCGTTCATAATGAAAGGGTTGACACTGAGACTGATGAGGTAGGGTACCGCGGCGAGGGGGGCAGCGGGGCAGGGGGGGGGGCAGTGCTGCACTGTCCGCACATAATTGCCGTCTATGTATTTATGTATGCGCGGATCCCAGCCCGCGCGTCCCGCCGCGCCACGCCACGCCCTGGCCAGCGACATTGGCTTCCCACGGGTTGAGCTGTGTGCGGTCCGTGGCGGGGCGAGGCGGGGGACAGGGCGGGCCCCGCACACGGGCTGACCAGGACCCAGTGCAAGAGCGGGGCGGAGCGGCGGGGCCGGTGTACGGCGTCGAGCGCCCACACTCGCCGCCCCCCTCCGCCCCACCCCGCCCCGCCTCGCCGCGCCTTTTTGTACGGCCGTATGCACCGCAAGGAGCCCCCGCCCCGCCCCGCGACCAGCGTCCCCGGGGGGTCCGTGCGGGGTGTTGTGCTCGGCGCTCCTCTCGAGGTTGCTGCTCGGCGCCGGTCCCGCGTGTGTCGACTTTGTTAAAGATCCAAGTAACCGCGAAAGCTGTAAAAAGGGATATTGTTAACTTGTTTCATCAACAAAATGGGATTCGTCAGCTAATAGTAAAAAAAAAAAAACATTTCTCTGATTATTTGTTTTTTGAGAACTTTTAGGGTTAATACTTGTCTCTTTCGTGAATTCTCTAAAGTTTGTCCATAATATTGCCCAACCATTTGACAACTCTGGTACAAAATTGAGGACGTTAGCAGTGTAGCCCTGTCCCGCGGCAGCTTGTAGCGCCACGCGGCGCCCTTCCTTGTTTACTCTGTCACCCGGGCACACCCGGGCCGCCCGGTGGGTGAGGGCCCTGCCGGCCCGGCCCTGCCCGGGGACCTGCCCCTCCTCCTCCCCCCGGTCGTCAAATCTACGATTGACTGTATTGATTGGGCTGAGCTCCCCGTGACACCGGCCCTGGCAGCGGGACGCGCTCGCCCCTTTCTCTCCCAGCTGCAGCAGCAGAGGGCAGATACCGGAAAGACTTAGAAAAGGAAAAGGGGAGCTTCACGCACTCGGTTGTGTATTTGAAAGGTTATATTGCGCCCACGGGATTTTTGCTGTGGCCATACCCCTTTCCCCTTCCCACCTGGGCGTGAGCGAGCGTCTCCGACTCTGTCTCCCGACGACTGTGCGTGTGAGACGTTTGACTCTGAAGCCATTGTGTGAGACTGGTGTCTCTTCTCCCGGGGGCAGCAGCAGCGGCGGCACGGCGGCGGCGGCGTCCGGCCCCCCCTCCGCCGCTCGTTTTTTATATGAATTTGATTCTTTGTGTTGGAAGACCTGCTCCCGAAGTTGGCATGTGTTTGGTATGCAGGAGGATTGAACCTTGGTGACACCGCCGCCCGCTGCAGGAGACTTTGACGCCGGGGCCCCGGGTGCCCCGGGTGGCCCCTCCGCCGGGTGCGCACGCCAGTCAGTCCAATCAAGAACTCTGTCTGCAAGTCACCCCGCGGCGTGGCCTGGCGTGGAGCGGCGTGCAGCCGGCGGTGTGGACACATTCCCTTGCCGGCCAAAGAGCTCGTCGTATAGGGGAAAGAAAGAAGGAAAGAAAAACTTGGCTTTATCGTATGCTCAGTCAGTATAGTGAGACGCGAGGCGCTGCAGCAGTCGGACGCTACACATACGAAAAGAGAGTGAGAGAGCAGAGGGAAAAGAGGAAGAGGAGGATTTCTGTCTCGCCGCACCGCACCGCACCTCGCGGCCTCGAGAGTCAACCTGTCCAGGCTCCATATGAGCCCCATGCCCCGGCCGGAGCCCATTAGTATGTATAAGTGCGGTGCAGTGTGTGTGTGTGCTGCTCCGGGCGACTCCGGGCTCAGCTCGGTCCCCCCGCGGGTCCAGGAGCAAGCAGCTCAGGATGATTATATTTTATTCCAACGCTGGGGCTCTCTGGGCTGGGCTGGGTCGGCCTAGCGGGTCTGGTGCTCCGGACAGGGGGGGCACAGTAGTTGGGGACTGGGTTTCAAAACGGCGACAATTTTCCCCCCATTTTTATTTTTTAAGGGCGATTTTTAAAATTGGTGGTTTAATTCTTATACGTGGTACTACAGATTTAAAAACCACAATCACCCTTACGTATCATTCAGAAAGTACGGCCGTCATGCAATTCGCATGCCATACTGCAAAGTTCCTGTGCCAGCTCACATAGCACCTGGGAGGTAGGCAAATTATTGCCTGCAGCGCATGTGTGTACTGCGGGGTGGCCTACCCCGAGTTTCGCAGGCGCCGAGCTCCCGTAATTTTGCTCGCTTGTCCCCCCGCCCCGTCGCATTTGCGGTTATACTACGCCGTGCGGCGTGCGTGCGGGTTGCCTATCGTCCTATACCACGGCGCTTCGTGGCCGGCCCAGCGGGTATAGGCAACCCGGCCTCAGCCACCCTGCTCGCGGAACTGGGACACTACAGAGGGGCAGGGGCGGGCGGGTGATGGTGTGGCAGGCGGTGGCGCCGCTCCCTCTCATCCCTCAAGGACACTTTCTTGTCCTTTGACTCGCTCGGCGCCGCCTGCTTTCATCGCGGCGCCTCTGCCAGCGTGTACTAAGGCCCGCTGGCTGCGGCGGGGCTGGGCTATAGAGACACAGTTCGCCGCAGCCGAACCACCTGCCACTGGTTACTGGACCCGAAGACTTATTATCGGGAACAAATTCACCGCCACCGTGTGCGAGCGGGGCGAGGGGTCACGGGTCACCTAAAGAGAGGCAGAGCACACAGAGTGAGAGAGAGATATATCAGCTCTTTCGTCTCTCTCTCTCTCTCTCTCTCTCTCTCCCTCCCTGGTCCACCACCGGCTGCCTGACACCATCACCGCCACCGCCGGTTGGTCAGGGCGGGTCTCTCTTCCTTGTGGTGGGGCACGGCACTCGCAAAGCCGCATGGGATGGGTAGTATCCTACATACGAAGGCAAGAGTTGCCGTCGCGGAGAGGGACCTGCTGGTGATGAGTGCGACGTCGTGGGAAAGGGCTCTACGTCGTCCAGGGCACCGCGCGCGCGCGCAAAGTCCGCGCCGACTCACTGCTCATACGACACACACTCACACACATACACGACACACACACACTCACACTCACCCGATGCGGTTTACCCGCGCGGCCCGCCGTCTCGCCGTGTCGTGTTTTCTCTTCCTGGCGGAAATATGAATTAGAGACCCCGGCTCGGCTCGCCTCTCCGCCGCCTTGTGTGTGGGACGGGATGATGCACTTTGAGGTTTTGGGGTTTGAGGCGGCCGGGGCCAGGCCGGGCCGGCTCGGGACGGGCTGTGTGGTCCCTCCTGGGGGCCGAGCGCCGAGCGTGTGCGCGCTGCTTTGGTCCGGTCAAACCAAAGGCGCATGCGCATCGCGTCCAGCGCAGAGCCGGGGTGGTCTTCTTGGTCTGTGCTGCAAGCCCATCTGCTTTGCTTTGTATTTTAAATTATTTCCCCTCTCTTGTTTTCTCCCTCATCGCGTTAGGGGGGGGGGGACTCGGCACTTTGCCGATTGGCAACGACGTCGCTCGTTTAAAACCGATGGTGGGGTTCGGGTAGAAAAGGGTCATGAGTCGTCGAGCTCGCGGGTGCGCTCGGACCCGCGGGTGCGTCTCGGAGCGCAGAGCAGAGCGCAGAGTCTACAGTGAGAAACGCGACGCGCCCGATGGACTCGTTCCCATTGTCAGAGTAAAGCGGGGAAATGGACGCGACGCGACTCCCCCCTCCTCCTCAACCCCACTACTGTTGTGTGCCCCCCGGGCCCCGGGCCGCCCCGTCCAAATAAGCTGAAACGGTGACAAACGGGCGTAGCCGGAGTAGTAGAGGGAGGGGGGCCAAGTCGAGCCACCGCCGCCGCCGCGCCGGCTAACCCGAGCCCCGAGCCGTCTCCGTGTCACCGTAGTACCACAACCGTTTATCGACAAGGCATATTTTATTTATTGTACTACTCTGCTTCGGCCGCGGCGCGGAGGTCCGGCGCGCGAGGTGTGGGGCTGTATGCCGGCGGGGTCGGCGGCGGCGCCGGGGCCTGCCGTGGTGAACACTGGTAATCTGACAGGCA